TAAATTTTTTCAGTGACCTCGAGAAGTCTTTCACCCATCATTATGGACGAATACAGCGTGCTGTTTCTGTCGACTTCCTCCATTCCATCTTGGGCGATGCACCGTGAACCTTCTGTTGAGGTCAAGAGACCCTTATTTTTCAATAGCAAATAGCACATATTTCGTTCCTTACGTTTCACTTTACATAAAGGATGGTGTCATTTACATGTCAGTGAGAGCGGGAGCACGTACTTCGCTCCAACTGAACTGCCGCGCATGACAGTAGAGTAGCAACCGTCATGAAGCTCTGTTTTAGAAAAACATTAATTTAAGGACTATTTTGTCCGCTTTCTAAACAAAACATGAATCATGGAGTGACGGATTTTCAAACTTAAATCTGACTGCGCGAGTTTTGTGGACAACTGTTCAGATTAGAAGTCTCAGGCGGGAATTCCAACCATTTTTAATTTCCCTTCCTCTGTAAGAATATCCCTTTCATCCGTTTTAATTGTTTTCTTTTGCCTCTGTCCCACTTTTCCGACTCAGTTCTTTACCACGCGCTCCCTAAAAAATTTTGCACTTGCTTTTTAATAATTTTGCCATAACTATGTTGTTAACAGTTTTGCACGACCCTAGTGATGGTTTCTTTTTCCGAAACCCCAAACGTCGGATTAAAATCTGAAATTGACTAGAACCAAAGCCGTCATTTATTCAAAAGGTGAACAAGACTACCATTGTTGGTGTATATTGAAATGATCTTCAGAAAAAGTTCAGTTATTAATTTTAAACGTCTGGAAAACTCATACTAAAATTGAGAGGGCAGTAGTGAAGAGGAAGGTTGCTCGCCTTCGCCTGCCATTGTCTATTAAAGATGCGGATTTGATTCATTGAACTGAACTGCGCAGTTCTCATTATTAATTAATTCCTTTAACCAAACAATTGCCGCCGTTGTGCTTTGGGGAACCCGGTGAGAAATGGATGATAATTTGATGGCCTGTGAACAGTAGAGGCAACATCGTGATCTGGATTGATGGTGTGGATGTACCGATGCCGGTAAAATTTATGGTGATGCAGTCTGATGCCTTCGCTTTACAGTTTCGATTTTCCTGGTCAAATTTTGTCTGACTGATGTGTTGTTTATGAAGAGCACCATTAACTTTGATTAAATATACCTTTTGAGATCTTCAGTTTCTCGCTTGAACCCTTCGCATCACCCTTGTCAGTGCTTTTTGCTGCAGCCATAAACTTTTTCGCCGCTTCCTGAAATAAACAGATAAAACGAATTTGCATATAAACATAAAGAAACTGAGAGCGTAAAAATGGTGCTGTTTTTACATATGTTGTTCATTTTACATAAACAAATCGCATTGACAGGTATCTGACTCTGAAACTTTGTCGGTGACGAAACGAATTCCTAAAGAGTTCCGTAAAGCATCTACCAATCGAATCTCGTGTAATTTGCCGTGGAATGACAAACAGACAAAATGACCGCACAAGTGATAAAGTGCAATGGACGTCGTTTTCCTCATAAGCGGTACGGTAATCGCGATCGCTTGCTACAAATCCTGAAATAGCCAGCTGAAGAGGAGAGAAAAAGTGCCTTCTCACCGTTATTAGTCATTCGTTGCACCTCTCAGGCTATTCTCTCGTGGATAACGATACTCATTCTAGAAATTCAGATAGGAACACTGAGAGCTATGACATGTTTTTATCGTCTAAGTCAACATGAGCAACTCTTTTGTCACCTGACCTCCTGGCAAAAGCATTAATTATTAGGAAAAGCGCTGAAGCAACCCAGCATAACATTTTAGTTTCACTTACCACCACGGTTCCGCTAATGACGCTGCCGCCCCATACCGCTTTCTGAGTGATCTTCCTGCTGCTCTCTTTTGGCGCTTCCGGTGGATACGTCTGCTCAATATTTTCTATGAGGTCTGCTGTCGCTGCTCTTAGGCTGTTAATGATGGACGAATTTTGCTCCTTCTTAAATAGAAGTATATAGAAGAAAGCATTACCAAACCGTACAACTGGTTTTGACGAACCGACGGTCATGCAGAGACGGGAAAATATGCAAGGCCTAGATACCTGATCACATTCTGAGCATACAAATTTGACAAGGTGCTGGATTAGGGCATACATTCAGCCTTCTAATATGCCGAAACAAGATGAATCGGACATAGTGGCTTGCCTAAGAAGCACCCAGAACGTCAAGAATTTCGAACTGGGTTTCACTGGGCAACAAACGTCCACTTGGGCGTCCAGAAGCGCTCCAAGATGATCCAATGATCAAATTAATTGACCAGCCGTGGAGGCAAAGAGCGAACAACAGAGGCTAGTGGTGGAAAACAGATTATTAAAACAGCAGTGAATTTTGTTAAGTGACAAAAAGGTTGTTTCGAGCAAAAAACGAACAACTGACAAAATATAACGAATAAGTGAGCATAATAAGTTCATTTTAAATACGCAGTTCATATTCAGTTGTCAGACATGCAACAGATATTTTAATCCATCCCTGATATTTTCTTCATAGATAATTGAATCCTAGCAAATGATGGATATCATTGACTGCAGTCATTATTTTGGCGTTTTGGTGCAGGAAATAAGGAATGTTTGCAATTTGTAACCGTTGAGACGTTAACGATACCTTTCACTATTGGCACTGCCATTTGTGGCTTCCTTCTTTTTCAAGGACTTACTTTGCTCTGTCATGAAGCTAGCAACCAGAAATGCTTTGTTGTTCATTTTTCTAAAGCCATAATTGCGTGTAGTCTCTTATTTCCTTTCATGAACAGGTAATCCACGTAGATACCATATGTCACGGCTGATTAGACGCTACGAAATGCCATACCATTTACAGAAAGATCCTTAAGCCGAGAGACAATGATAACTGAATTTTTTAATATTCCAACGCCATTCACCAATAAACAATCATAAAAACAATAATAATAACCAAAATAGTAATAAAAACTGTAGCTGCGCCTCAGGTTAAACGAGGGAAAATACATGCAAAGTAAAATTGCTACCTTCTACCGATTACATACATTTAATGCATAGTTTTTGCAATTTCTTAAGATGATGCCTGATGCCCTTTTTAGTTTTTTGACAGTAATGATGCCATCCGAAGTTACAGGTAAGTTTAATCTTGATTCCTTGACATACTGTATCTGAGTCAATGGTTTGTCACGGTCGTTCCGCGAAGATTAATAAGTGCAGCATTTTGGCATATATCAGGAATTTACTCAGTAGACTTAAGAGACTCAAGGCACATCAAACGCATCAGTAACAATGAATCTGAAACTACTAACTTCTTTATTGAACTGATCGTTAGCCAAGTAGGACCAAAAAGGTATTTTTTATTGGGACATGTCCCAGAAGC